AGAAGACTAGCAGTAAGCAGTCGAAACGTCGCGATCTACATCTAAAGTGACTACATCGTGTGACAAACGAAAATACACTTTATTAATAATCATATATTTGTTCATATTTTTGTTAATTGCACAACTGCTTAAGTTGTGCATATAACTGCGATGATCATTCATGTCTTGATATCTTTCTGCGCAGTTCAAATATATGATCTTTGATATATTCACTTGCAGATAGAGGTATATGTTAGCTTTAAGTCAGATAGCTATCCACTATTTACAAAATCTCTTGGATAGCAAGAATGCTCTAAAAATGTTTAAATGTTGTTGTTTATAGTGGTCAATGAGCTTAGCCACACCTAGCTACCAAGGAGTTGAACTATAGGGTCCACCGAGAAGCAAATCCAGTTTAGTGGTCAGAGCGGGACTTGAAACCCACCACTCGACCACGCAGGCTCTCGGCAAAAAGACAGTGATTTTCATCGGTCCACTAGGAATGAGATAGTTGTAACTAGCATAAAGGTATTAATAACTTATTAATAAGAAATGATCGTTTTTGTCAGGGTAGTTACGCTGTACAGCTCAATGTAGGTTTTAAGTAGAGCATTTTCATCTCAACTTCAGTGAATAATTGTTGAGTATTTTAAGTACAACTTTTTACCTCTCTTACATATTGCTTTAATAATGATATAACGTTAAATTGTTTGAATTAAAATTCAATGGATGCTTTGATTTTAATTGTACATGGCATTTTACGGTCTGTGCTTGAGGTCTGCTCTACTCGAAATTCATGATAATTGCATCTATAATTTTATGCTTCTATATGTTGATCAAGAAGCTGGTTAAATCAGTCTAGTCCTATATTCCAATTTCTGACGATACATTTTCCTCTGCTGTAATACTAATGATTCTGCAATAGGAGGGTTTCGTTCTCGAGAACTCGTCGCGACAGCTGGTTCACTAACAATAACAGAACTCCTCGTTATAATGACCCTGCCAACACGTCATTGTACGTGTGTTTGTATGTCTGCTTGCGTCACTGTCTGTCTGTCTGTTTGGCTGTCAGTGTGTATGTCTACCTGTGTCACTGTCTGTCCGTTTGGTCTCTCGGCTTGTCTCCTTACCTGTCTATACGTTTGTCTGTTCCCAGTCGTCGATTTCTTCTTCATTGTTCCTCTGCTTCTCCTACGATATCCAAAGGTATTTCCTCGATCTTTGGTGTTTCTTCAACCACACCATACGATTCCCTGCACAACATTCTACCCATGGCTATTCTAAAGTCAGGCATTTGAAACGAATAAATGACTGGATTCAAGAACGAGTTGGCGTAATGCAGTAATTTGCAGAAAAACAAAGCATTATGTGGTAACTTTGAGACTAAACAAAAGCTACAAAAATAGTTGATTATGTTTAACAAGTAGAAGGGTAACCACGTGACCACAAATGTGAGCGTGATGGTCAAAAGCATTCTAGCAACCTTTCTGTCGTTACCCAAAGCACGATTTTGCGATCCAAAATAGAATTTAACTCTGACCCAAATGACTAAATATGATACACACATAAACAACAAGCATGCACTTAATGAGGACGTCATCACATAAAAGAACACGTCAAAGGAAATGACGTGGTATTTGTACAATAGGTGCAGGATGGTAATGATGAAGGAAAGGATCCAGACTATTCCAATCATCAGGAGACATTTGGCGTCTGTCAGGACGTGACGATGACGAAGAGGCCTGCAAAAAGCGTATACACGCTCCAACGCAATCGCTGTCAAAGTGAAAACAGACGCAAAACCGGAAGCTATGTCCACAGCGGTGTAAATGCTTTGATATGTGACATTCTCCAAGTGGTGACTTAAAAGAGCTATGTACATAGGGACTGTGATAGCGCCCACGAGTAAGTCAGCAGCTGCAAGGTTAAGTAGGAAATAGCTCGCACGCATCTGCAAAAGCTTTTTGGAACCAAAAAAGGCCACCATTGTAAGAATGTTCCCTGCAATGATAGCGAAGGCAACCAGTCCAAATCCTACTCCCCAACCAATTGTTTGCGCTGAAGCCATCCTTGGAGGTATCCAAAGTATGCAATCTAAAACAAAATAAACTGAGAAGAATCAATTTCATAAAAATCATTTTAATAAACGTGATTAATAACAGCTGAATTTACAATTAGGTCTAAGATTAGGTTAAAAAATGTCACGCACTGTTATTTCGACAGAACATTTCAAAGCGAGCAAGTGTAAGAGGTGGAAAGCTAGGATAGGGATCAAAATATTTCGTTATAGTGTTTTGAGAACACCCTTTTGAAAACGACAAGGGATTATGTTAAATAGTTTAAAGTCGATTCACGTTCACACAAAAGTTGAAATGATGTGGAAACTAATGTTAAATTCACGGCAGATTTATTCTTTTTTGTAGTATTAGTTATGTCATTTAGCACGAAAGAACGCAAGTTTCAAATCATTTGAGACCTGTGGGCTGCTAAAGATTATGAATGATGCAAGCCTTAATGTTAATGGTATTGTTTTCTCAAACCATTTTAAGTTCAACATTTAATTACGGTTCGGTGACAGGGAAAAATTTTAGAGAAGAGACAGGCATTTTCCTTATTTTCAGCTGCACAAAAAAGCAAAAAAAAAAAATACTAAAAATATGTAATTGAATCTAAAGAACCTTGACAATTAAAAAGACCATTTCTACAGAAATAAAAACCCGTAATATCTTCGAATTCGTCCAAATACATTGTCTTTGTTGTAAACACCAGCCGTAGAGACATGATATTAATTCTAAAACTGTGAGCATAAATGTAAAAGCAGAAGGTCACTGACTGTTCTGTGTGACACTGGTCTATGACAGCAATTTTGTGCTACTCCTATGAAACTGCCGTGTTTACAAAATTTGAAGTTAGTCTCTATCTTGACTTGCAAACACGTCTTTAGGCAAGATAAACAGTAAAAAGGCTTAAAATGTGCTATATTGTTGACAATTCAGTTGACTAAATTACAGTTCCTTCAGAAATGTTCTTTATGTTACCATATATCTTGGGATGACGGCTAATTTATGATTGAAAAAGCCACAGAATGCATCCATCGTTGTTTGTGTGATGGATGAGTACGTCCCAAATCACTGGAATATGGGGGGAAATGCTTTTATCCCGAATGCTATTATCAGTAAACATGGCACTCCAGTTCCTTTTAAAGTGAAAAATAAAAGCAATTTATCTTCAAAAGATCTTTCCATTAACAGTATTTTTGAATATCAATGCCAGTTTTCTGTCAAACGTTGATTAACATTGGTTTGTATGCAAGAGCCCGTAAAGAAGAAAGTACTTTTACAAATATACGTCACCTCGAGGTCTTCCGCCTTTGCTCCGGAGGTATCGCTTGAAAATACGGCTTTTTGGCGAAAGATCTCGACCTGCGAGGGATATATTAATGTGTTTATCGAAGAACAGTGATCTAAGCAGCACCTTGCCGAACGTTTGTGATTACATGCGTTTGCAGTGTTTGCTACCTCATGGGTTGCACCCTACTGGGACGAAAAAAAGTCATTTAATCAGTTGCAGCTTTTTCTAAGGTTTGTTTTAACATTTGGTTGTTGTGTCAATTTTATGTAAGTCTTAATGTAATTATTCGTTATTCAAACCCATCTTTACTTACCCTTAAGGACAAATTTACAAACTTGTAGTAAATATAAAATCGTACAATGTTAAGCAGAGATCTTGAGTTAAATTCTCACTTGAAAACAACGGACATGGCCGCCTTCATTCCCGCTGTTTAAATTCGCGGGAAACGTTCAATCAACTTTACGAAATGTGATTCAATTCCAGCCGGCGTTTTCAATAAAGAATTTGTTTTCTCACACACACACATACACAAAACGAGATGTAAATTTTCAGCAAGTTAAGTTTCCCTCTGGATTTCTTTTATAATTATATTCAGAAGAAAAAACAAGAATAAAGAAAATTCCGGTGGCAGCTGCCTTTTTCGTCTAATAGAGGCAATATATTATGAAAATAAAAATCGATTTGTTTGAAACATTGTTAAGAATGACAATGTGTTGAACTGATCTCAGCCAACAGCGGGCTTTAAATAAAGACAATGATTTTATTACAAAGGGCGGTGTGACGAATTCCCACAGGCACAGGATAACTCAGCGATCGGTTTCAATATTCTCCCTGCACATGTCTAGTACATTATGTGCCCTTCTCGGGGACAAATACCTACAAAGTGAATACGTATGTATTCTGAGGTGGCCAGGTCCTTCTAAAAAGATAAAAATAAAATAAACTAAAACATGATCTTATCTCTCCATAAAAGCCATTTCCTTGAAATCCAAACAGACTGATCAGAAACCCCTTGAGAAAGAGTATTCCAATACACAATACATATCGGCGAAGATTTGATAAGCTCAGAGCAGTTTACAAAGCAACAACAGTCGAAATTCTTAGACAATTCGTATATTAGAGAAACAAAATGTGTAATTTTCAGTGACTAGGATGATTGTTCAAGTCACCCAGTGTCGATCTCTGCTCTTAATATCAGATTAATAAGTAAGCTCAGTTGGCATAATCTACAGTCTGACACCTAGAGAGTCTGGAATACCCGAATTAGCGAAAAGCGAACAACCAGTAGTGGCCAATATTGGCGAATAATGACAAATAGTGGCGACCTGTGGCGACCTGTGGTGATCAGTAGTGAACAGCGAAAGACAGTGGCTAATAGCAGGTAATACTTAGTTAAACCTGAGCACTTCGTTTGGCCTAAATGTGAAAAGAGCTCCGGTTAGCCTAAATAAAATTTTGTGTGGCCTCATCAGGATAACATAGATTCGACAAAGCTTAAATCTCAGTAATTGTAGTATGACTCCCAAGAGTTCATGTAGTTTGTTAAAAAGTCATGTGAATACCAAAAATTTCCAAATAAACGAAATCTGGCGGCTCTTGTATCGTGAATACGAAAAATTCCCCTCCAGTCTAAGCAGTCTAAAAATTGGCTTAAAAACATGAAATATCCAAGCTTTTGTTTATTATATATTCTCGCAGTTCAGATCATCAATGTATTAGCCCGAAGGCGATAGCTTTATATCTACCTTTATCTCTTTCAGTGCTCCTGGTTATACATGAAGGACTTTTCCCTTATTTCAAATGTTTGACTTGATTGTAAATGCTGCTTTTTTATGATTTCAGATTAAAAAACAAAAAAAATTCTTAGGTTTTTGCAACACGTCAATGCCAAGCCAAGTGTTTGAGTGACACGGAAGTGACCCTTGAAGTTTACGAGATGAAAAACTGCAAATTTTTATAGAGAGTCATACGAGTCGTATATAGTGGGTCCTGAACGGTGGGGTACACATCTTATTTCCCAGGAAAGATTTTACCCTTATCTCATTTTACAGCTTATTTCGTGCCCAAATTCCACTTCCATTTCCAATTTTTTGCTTGGGATTCAATGTCCCGGTGACACAAATCCCATTTTCCAGTGGTAAAAAATAAGTAAATCCTTGTTCCCATTTTATCCCTTCAGGCCACTTCATTGTTTATATAAATCAATTATTTTTGTGGGAGAGACAAAGAACGATGCAAGTGCATCTTTGACACAGTGTCTATCACAATCAAAAAGTTTGTTTTTAATTCTGTCAGAGTCCAACAAAAAAAATAAAGAACAAAATATACAGTGCCTACAGGAGATGAAACGAAAAAAACAAACAAACAAAAGGAAAAAAAAAAAACAAAAAAAAAAAACGGATTTTGAACAAGAAGAGCAACGCCGCTAATAAAACACTAACTTATTTCTACTTTAAGGACGGTGCCTACTTTTGTTAGTGCGCACACGTTCTGCGCATCACGCAAGGCATGGTTTAAGGTGGCCGAACACACTTTTCAAGTGCCTATGCCTAATTCACCATTACTTTTAAACTATTTATGCTTTGGCGCCCGTTTTTTGCAAGAGTCAAGGTTAACCACAGAAGGGTTTATTCTCGCATTTTTGCTAAGGACTATTTTATTTGTTTGTTTATTTATTTATTTATTTATTTGTTTTTTTATTTATTTATTCCTTTATTATTTTCTCGGAGAAATTAGCTATGCAGCTACTCTTGTAAATCCGAGGTGAAATAAAGGTGATGTATGTATGTATGTATGTATGTATGTATGTATGTATGTATGTATGT